TCTCAGACCTTCAGCAGAGAATCTGAACCAGCAGCAGAATCAAGACATTAAAGTCAGAAACCAGAAGTTTTCCTGAAGCTGCAGAAAATCAAATCCACCTCTGGAATCAGATCAGAACCAAAACCATCAGCGCCGCTTCGTCTCATTTCATCTTTAAACTGGTTCTTTGTTTTAACACCAGTAAGAAAGCAGCTCCAGTCCCAGTTCACTGACCTGTAGCTACCGGCAACCTTCTCTGCAGGTCCAGATCCGCTGGTTGCTCAGTTTTCCATCCAAGTCCACAAAGATCCAGTCACAGAAGCTGCAGCATCACCTGAGCTGTGGTTCGGTTCAGAGGACAGAAGCGGAGCTCCTGCAGCTTCTGTGATGTTTGCTTTGTGAAACACCTGAGCGGCTCCATCTCCCACCTGTCCCCCTCCCTCCTCTTCCTCATTAGTCCTCTTCCTCTTCAGGGGATTTCTCTGTTTTTCTCCAAGCTGCTTGGCGACCAGCAGCCTTCTAAGACAAACTGCTCTGGTTCTGGTTCCAACTAAAGGCCATCTTTAAGATCTGATGTTCTGCTTCTTCTAGATCTTATTCTGGTTCAGTCAGAAACAATAAATGTGTCCTTAGCACATTCTAGTTCTAGTTCTAGGCTTCTGTAGAGCCTGAGAACTTTGAGCCAAGTCCAAGAACTCCTCAGGACGGCAGCTTGTGAGGGAAAGACCTGGACTCTACCAGACAGACCCCCCCCCCCCCAAAATGGTCTTCTGTCAGTCAGAGGATGGATGGTTGATTAAACCCATTAAACCCAGTCCAGTTCAGTGGGAATGTGGGAACCCTGCTGCCCCCTGCTGCCCGGTTGGGGGTACCAGAGCACTTCCTTCACACTTCAGCTTCTCTCACCTGCAGCTTTTCTGACTTTGAGCCACTGTCTCCATCTGCTGGATACCTAGAGTCGGTACACCCCCCCCAAACCATCACCATGGCAACCAACAGCAACCAACATCCACACCAGCGTTCAGTTTGAGTCTTTAATTGTTTGGAACAGAATTGATGAGAAACAAAATGATTACAGAAGATCCTGGACATCCTTCTCATTGGCCATGAAGCAGAGAACATCTGAGATCATCTCTGCTCTGCTGTAGGGGCGACTTCCTAATGGTTGGATGATTCTCCAGTCCTCAGCTGGTCACTTTCCAAAGTCTTCAACCTGAGGAGACGGGAGATAAAGCCAAAGCTCAGGATCCATCTTCACCTCAAGGTCTTTAATCCACCAAATGTGAACCAGACTGGGAAGAAAAACCTCTTTGAATCGGATGATAGAAACCTAAAGACGTCTAAACCAGAACCCAAAGTCCTGAAGAGACCAAGACAAGGTTCTAACAATGTCCCTCCATCATAGCTACTCTGACGCAGTAACGTTCATATTTAGTCCCTAACCCAGGCATGTAAGATTGCCTTGAAAATGTTGTTGGCATCAAAGTCTCCAATATTCATGCCGTCATCCTGGAGGTCCTGTCCGCTGTCATAGCGGGCCTTTATCTTTGGAAAGGTCCAAAGAAGAAGGCGTGTAAGGAACCTGGGAGGGTCTGCATCTACAGCTGATGGTCCTGATGGTCTGAATTCATCTAAACCTGGTTCCAGTCAGCAGATCAGCAACAGGTTCTAGCAGTAGGAACAGGTGTAGAACCTCTCAGACTGACTTTTTTAGGTGTTCCTCGCAGAACGAACTGAGGCGCTTCATCTCAGATTGGAAGAAGGTCTGAAAGACAAACAGGAAAACAATGTTCACACTAAACCATGAGAAGAACCGTCCTTCACTGAGTCAGTCACAGAACTTCATGCCGAGTTCAGAGAACCAGCAGCACCGCTCTACCTCCAGATGATGGCCTAAAACTCAGATACTGATGTGAAGAGCAGTCAGAGCTCCTGATTCCAGGTAGGTTTCAGTTTTTACAGTGGAAACACACTCTGGGTTCTCCATATTCATTTGGAATTCAACTTGTCAATTCCAGAAAACCAAAAAGTGCATCGTTCCCAGTTTACTTGGTTTTTGATATAAGAGAATTCTACCTTTTTGAGCCTCCACATCATCATCCAGTGTTGGTCCTTGTGGTCCATTAAGGCAGTGTGCAAACTCACAATATGGGAGCGAATAAACATGGAACCATGGAACTCAGACGTCGTCTGGTCAAACAAGGTTTGTGTCAGGTGTTGAAAAACCAGCTCACTATGATGAGAGGTAGGCTATTGGAACAAAAAGAGAATATACACAGTGGCATACGGCACTATTGGCCTGCTTCTATACCAGTAACCTTGACCAACGGGGTTATATGAAAGACTGGGAACTATGGAAGCTTCTATACCCACATTCTGGACTAACGGCTGAAAACCTGGTAGCTCAGTTTTCCAACATCCAGAAACGGCTGCTTATTTCGCAGGTGGAAGGCCAGAACATCCAACAAATGCAAGCTGTGCTGCTGCCATCAACACCTTTGTTTCTAGATGTTGGAGCTTGGCCTGTTTTCCAGTGTAGTCCTGTTTCTCTGACTGTGACTAACTGGATGTGCTCTCTTCATCCTCTGACATGGGAGCTGGCTCGGAGCTCGTCTGCCTGGCTGTGTGTTTCCTGGACGGGGCCGCCTGTGGAGCTGGTTGACAGTTGCCTTTTGTATCTATGCTTCTTTTTCTATGTCTGCTTCTGCCTCCTTGAACCCCAGTGGGCCTCAGCAGATGGCCGCTCACACTGAGCCTGGTTCTGCTGGAGGTTTCTTCCTGTTCAAAGGGAGTTTTTCCTCTCCACTGTCGCTACAAGCATGCTTAGTGTGAGGGATTGCTGAAGAGTCAATGAGTCGATGCAATCAGCTGGTTTTCCTTAGATAGAAAACTTTGAATCAATCTGACTGGATGATCTGGTTGATCTGGATCTATAATGTGACCTGAGATGACATGATGTGAATTGGAGCTATAGAAATAAACTGAATAGAATTGAATTGGTAGAGAAAGTGAGCTTGAGATGACTGAGCTACAGGAGTACAGGGTGTGTGTGTGTGTGTGTGGGGGGGGTGGTTGAAGGAGCAGTTATTCTGTAAACAACCACACTGTTTGCCTCCACTGTTATTTCCCTGTCAGCACCACCTGCAGTATTAGTGTTAGTTGCTGCATCAGTACCAGGATCTGTGAATTCATGGAGTTCAGGTTCCTGTAGTTCTCTTCCAGTTGCTTCAGTTGACCAACGACGTTGTTTTCAAACTGCTGCAGCAGCAACAACCTGCAGAAACAGAAACAGGTTAGTGTTTCCACCCCATAACTGGGACTTTATTCTGACTGCATTTAATCGACATGATATTCCTGTGCATGTGCAGTTATGTAATGCGATGTGGAAACTATAAATGCCGCCCTGAATCGACTGAAGGTTGGGGGATAACAGAATTTTTGACGATGCGTTGCTGGATGTATGAAGTGTTTAAGACAGATGTATGAATTCGGTTTGTAATTAAATGTGTCCCCCCCCTCTGGATGATAAAATGGTGTGAATCGTGGCCTTCTTTCTGTCATAAGGGAATTCTACCACTGAGCTTCCATATTACCTCTGCTGATGCACTGCTGTGAGCAGTGAGGAGACGTGTTGCTGAAACTCTTTTAGAGACGATAGAACATCACCTTCCACCCTCGACCAGGAACCCTGGAAAACGCTTTGAATCCATGATTGAATCCCAGCTTCACCCCCAGATTCCACATCCTCCATCCTGCTCCACCTACGTCTGGTGGAGCAGCTGCTCAGACACATTTATTAACGAGAACTTCTTACTTTTCATGTGAATGTGCTTTACTGGAGGCATCCATGTTTGTCCAAGAACACTACTGCCACCTACTGGTTTGTGACGTCACGGTGCGGTATCAGAGTTTTTGAAATAATCGCATTTTTTTTCCACTTTTCCCCGATGTATTCCAACGTTGATTGCAGATGTGTCTAGTAGTTCCCATTGATTTAGCTTGTAAAGCGGGGAGAATGGCGCTAGGCTTACCGCACCGTGACGTCACTGCTGGAAGATGGCAGGAGGGAGGGGTTACTATATTTGGGGAAAAATGGCCGCTCCCAGACTCAGTGATCGCAACGAAAATTATTGTTTTAATTTTTAATGGTAAATTAATTAAATCACAGCGAGCGTATTAGTTTTAGGTATAAATAATGATCCATTGATTATTTCTGGCGGATTGGAGTTTTACTTTAATGAACAGAGCGGATAAAAACCGGAGGCGGCGTTTTGCGGAGACGATGTGGAGCGGAGCGGCTGATTACAGAGGATGTGGGGTTTCGGGGTCAGAGGTTAATTAATAATGGTGACCAGGTGAGGCTACAGACGGTGAAGTGCTGCTCCAGCTGGGCTCTGAAGGACATCAATGCAGCAGTGATGTCGGACGTCAGGTGCGACTCTGGATCCAGTTCTTGGTCTGCCACAGGTGGCCACACCCCCTCACAGTCGGCAGCTCCCTCTGATCCTTCAGGTAAGCAGCCAGGTGAGCCTCAGATTAATGCAACAAACGGGGAACCTGCTAGATCTAAATACCTTTTACTGGTGAGCAAGACTCCGCCTGTTCTGCTGCAGGCTCCACCTTCTTTTTACTGGGTGTGACTCCCTGAGTTTGGTCTGACAGGTAGCCTGTGGTAAAATGTTAGTGATGATGATGAATTTCCCCCCTTTATTATTATCTTTCTATATAAAAAAGGACAGAATCATCTAATGCCAAGAACTACTGAAACGTTGGTAGAAGGAGGTTTAGCTTGGATCTTTTAAAGCTTCAGTAAAGCAGTGATCAACCAGGTAAAGGTCAGGGAACAGGTGAGACCTGAATCTGCAGCTTCTCTCTTCCGCAGACTTTCCTGCCATTAAAAGAATAAACAATATTAAAAACCAGCAGAAAACCTCTGAGGTTTGATTGATGTCAGAAACAGGAAATGGACCTTCTTAGAGGGGGAGCTTCCTTCTTCGTGTCCCCCGCTCTCATCTGGAATTTGAGGATGTTTCTCTGCTTGGTGGTCATCTAAAGGGGGGGGCTCCTCGCTGGACAGGTGAGCCTCTGAGACGTCTGTGGGATCAAACGTTGGCTGGAAACCACCTGAACGCAGAAACTTTGGTGAGATTATGAGCAAAAACCTTTTAGCCGCCCCGATATTTACTGCTAGATGCTTTCTGCTCGTTACCAAGCAGGCAATTTTCACCATTATAACCCATTTTCACCACCTTACA